TCTCAAATAGACACCTTGTCAATGCTGTTGAATTACGCTAAGGCTGTGAAAATTTTTTGCCCTGACATTAAACAAATATGAACGTGTTGAATAACAATGTAATCAGTTTCCATACAGGATATGCTGGTTCTTCCGTTAAGATGTCACGTAACATTTTGTATGTCTCTTATGATAGATTGTTGTAAGGTTACACGTATATGTTGATCAGCAGGTAGTGGTTTGCATAATATTTTCAGGATAGAAGAGTGCATCCATGCTTGTACCAGGATTCAGATTGAATCTTTAATTGGCTGTCAGCATACAGTTTCACAAAGAAAATGAAAAATGAAAAATAATGTTGATCAGGTGTTGATACAAAGTCAAATATTTTTACATGACCAAAATTATGGTGTATGGAATGTTCCACGTGACATTGCTCTGTGCGTCTGATTAGTTTACCAGGTTCTTGGGCTCACATGGCATGGTACAGAGGTCTCTCGTTGTTGTTAGTGTTATAATTGTTGTAACTTAAACACAATGTTAGAGGCATGTGTCCAGTCTTCAACTTCTTTACAGGCTCAGGTAAAACCACTGGATACTTCATCTGCTTTCGCATCTGTAGGCAAATGTCAGGCACAGAGAGAATGATTGTTGGCAACAGTTGTTGATCAATGGTATCAACTATTGAAAGGCCTGGATCTTCCTCCACGTCACCTGCTTTGCCCTGCAAGCAATGGGATGTGGACATTGTTTCAGACCAATTGTGTAAACCAAAACACCACTTGATTCCAGTTTATCATAAATATCCATGATTTGTTTCAATGTTGGCGAATGAATTACAGTTGCACAAACATCTTCAGCATTAAATGCCAACAACCCGGTTGAAAATACACCTGCATCATGTGATAAGATTCTTCGCTATGCAGATTTATGATAGCCGATCATACTCGCAGATTAATCTTTCCATGTAGTTAAGAACTCCAGTAAGCTAGCAATTCGACTCTGCACAGTACGAGTGCAACGACTGGATAACACATGATACCCCTGTATCAATGGGGAAACTTGCTCAGGAACGCCTGTATGAAATAACAAAGAATGCAAGACATTTCATCGATAAAGAGATCGTCATTCTCGATGAAAGGAAAACAAATATATATTTATAATGACTACAACAGAACGATTGAGAACTTTGAAAACTGAAACCAAGTCACAACTGTAAGCTGTAGAAGAATTGTTCGCAACAAAATAAGGGCGCAGAACTGACTCGATGTGAAACGATACGTCTAACAAAAGCTGCAGAACGCTTGCAATGGCCGCCATCGAAGGATCACTTGAAATTTCCAGTACCCAGTCTACCTAAAGCGCAAAATATGTTCCTGGAGATCTGTCACGTGTCATCCCGTGTACATCGCCACAAGATTTGTCCTGCCTTAGAGGGCATTATGCCTGTATAATTCATAAACCATAAAAAATGGCCAAAAAAGACACCAGAAAAAAAAAGAGCTTACTGCAATAAGTACGATTTTGAATTTTGAGGCCACAGACGTCTTAGACGTTTCAGAAATTTTGAATAATTGCAAAAATTTAAACGATGACGATTACTATGTTGGATGTCAAAGCTTACCATACAGCAGCGGTTTTCCTTAAGGGTCTTTTTTTTGGGGGGGGGGGGGGGGAGGGGGGGGTGGGCTCGTTTTAATTTTCACAATGAAGCAAAATTGTGACTCATCCGCAAGGAAAATGTTCTTGAAATTCTATAGTTGTTGGGTTTTAATTCTTATTATATCACATCACCTGCATTTATCATTGCTGTACTGACCAAAGAAGCCGTAGGCCAGTGATGGACTGAACACGATATCAAAATAAGGTAGTAAGTGATTTGTNTTTTTTTTTTTTCTGGCATACACCAGCGTTTTTTCTCACAATTCCGCTTAATCTCTTAAACCCTTATTCGCATGCTGCATGTCAAAGTTTGCCATACAGCAGCATTTTCCCTGACAAGTCTTAGTAATTTTTTAACCTTTATACAACCTTAACATATCACACTTCACTGGCCTGTGGCCTTAAAATTGGAATTTTTCTTATTTCATCAAGCCCTTTCCATTTATAGTATTAATTTCGTACCACGACCATATTTTTTATCATTGACTAGGTCATTCTGAGGAACGCGGAAATTTCATGGTGCGAAAAAGAAAAAGTAACTTCTTTCCGGGCCACACAATAAGAAAGCAAAAAATGCTGTGTTTACTTAAAGAAAAAAAAAAATAGACGCGACTTTGATTTGCATGCCTCCTTGTTTTTAAATTTGAGGCGAAAGCCATGATTTTCGCCCGTTAGAGCGGTTCCTGCCCAGAATTTGTTACCACTAGCTATGCAACAAAAATCCAACATCTTTCAAATAGCGGCCATATTTCGTATTATATAACTCCTTCCCCCTCCCCCCACAAAAAAGGAAAAAAAAAATTGTTATACTTGAAAAAAAGAAGTAAAATAAGGTCAGTTTGAGAAAACAATGTTAAAAAATTAAGGGAAACCTTCTTAGGTAACAAAAATGCACGAAGATAGCAATCCGAATTGTCATCAGTTATACATGGGATCAGAAGATCGCGTGTGGCTTATGGTATCTCATCAATGTGATGACAATGCGACTCCCACAGCACAGCAGGTTCACTGTGATGCGATCACCCGTTGGGTCTCTATATCGAGACTCAGTCACCTGCATCTGCATGCATTCGCAAATAATTGCCACTTTATCAATAACATCATGACAAACTATTAACGGTAGCAAGAATCAATCCATTATCTCATGAAAATCTGTCATGCAAATGAGCAAAGATCATCAATATTTTGGAATATTTTTTCAACATTGAAAACGAACGAAAGGAATTGATCAAATGGCTGTGTTTTATTTAAACTATAGTACAGTTACTGAGGAACGGCTTCGCAGTCTTACAGCTGAATCACCCCTTGACCTTGTAAAGAAACATTTTTAAAAGCACTCAGATTCGCCTTAAGGTAAAGTTCCCTGGCTTTAGCTTGCAGCAAACAAGTGTTAAGTTAGTCGTCAATGTTGACGAATGTTTAAACGTGCTTATCGAGTGGAATAGCCTTTTGACATAAACACAAATTTGTCGATGTGTGCTTAGCTCACGAAACCGATAGCCCATGCTCCTTAATGCCCCTATATGAGACGCGAATCTCTTTTTATACGTAGGTCTTCTCACTATTTTGCTTAAAACCAGGAAAGGCTTCGAATTCTTTGGTATAATCCCAAGGGATACTCCCTTATATGGGCTATATAGGTATGTGCGGCTCCAAAGGGCAAGGTTTTTCTGCCTTTTAAGTCATAAATAGGGTATCCATTTTGGCTATTTTGGTCAGAAATAGGGTGTGGTTAGTGCACCCGGGTCTTGAATTAAGCATGTTTTTTTTAGAAGAAGCTACTTTTTCATCATTATCGATAAGAACATCAACAAAAGCCCTTCATAAATTATGTTTAGAGCAACTGTGCCAGCTGCAATGGCCATAAATAGGGTATCGAATTTTTGGAGAGGTCATAAATAGGGCAGGGAAAAACATGGCTTTTTAGGTCCTAAATAGGGTGAGGGTTTTGAAAGCGGGCCGCTCATCCCCACCACCCTCTCCCCCTTCCCGAGGGTATAATAACCAATATTTTAGCTACATAAAAGCCTCTCAAATGTTTTTGGAAGTTTCCAAAGGAACTCCGTACATATTTCCACGGCCACAAAGTTGAGGCATGAGGGTGATTGCGGCTTTTTTGAGGTATTAGTGTTGTATCTCATAATGCTTTGTATAATGATCACATCCTTTCACTGTTTTTTTTTTTTTCTTTTTCTTATTGCCTTAGGCTAGATTCTGACCAACATAAACAATACAAGCAGGCAAACCCTTCCCGTTTGGGAAATGTGGATTTGGAGCACAACATTTAAGTTGGAAAGCATAGCGATTGTCTTTGCCAATTCCATCACAATCCATATCTTCTTGAGTCAAAGGAAAGCTCTGAGGTACACAAGCTACGTTGTAATCAACTTGGCTTTGGCCGACCTAAGCGTAGGCCTGTCGGCAGTTATTTTGGTGCGGAGAACCTGGTGTTAAGCTATACTGGAGAAAAGCCCACCGCGATATGATGTCTAACTGTAGATTTTATCTCAGAATGTGCTTCTATAGTGTTTCTAGTTGTTCTTTCTTTAGAGAGAACGCATGCCGTTTTTGGCCTCTACGTCATCGCATTACTAAAACCCGTAGTTACATCTATGTTATTTGCGCAGCTTGGCTGTTTTCTTTCTCATTCACATTCACAATCATATTTATCATAACGTATATTGGAATTATCAACCAGAATATCTCGACGAGTTTGTTTATTTTCTTGATGGCTGCTCTTCCGCTCATTGTTTGCATCGTATACTGTAGAATTTGGTTTCGTATGAAGCACCTACGAAAGCAAAGTATACGAAAGCATCGTCATATCGCAAACAGCAATTTAACCAAAACCTTGTTAGTTGCCTCTCTTTTATCAGTGGCAGCATGGCTTCCTGTGAGCGCCACACTTCTGATTAGTGTCCTTTGCAAGAACTGTTTGTTGTTAAACAACTCAAGCCGTGTTGTTTACGAGGGAAGGATTCTTCAGTTTGGAAACTCTCTGCTGAACCCTATTATCTACAATATAAGGATGCCCGAGTTCAGAGCCAAATTAGTGAGATTACTCTCCAGGCGTCACTGGAGAACGTCGATTCAACCAACGTCCTTGACATCAGGAACTTTACCCAAATTTTGAAGGACAGTCTGCTGCTCCAATACTGCTGTCCTTAAGACCTCTAGCCAGCTCTTCGAGCGGTCGTATAAATTGCTCGATCAGCAACCAGGAAAGGAAAATGTTCAAATGACATATCAATTAGCAATCAAACAGAGAGATGAAGTAAATCAGGATCTGCTTAACAAAGCGATTTCGAATCTCCCGCTTGTTATTAAATATTTCAAAAGGGATTCCATCAAAAGCATCAAATGCTGATGACTCATTGATGTCATGGGAGCAGAGACAATGTCGCGAGATTCTGGTACCTTTTACGCCGTTCATTTCGATTTTATTTGCCCTACCCTGCAGAGGGCTTGTTCCCGTGATCCCCAGGAAATGCATGTTTCATGCATATGTTCCCTTGAACTCTATGTTCCTGCGAACGCGGGTTAAAATTGCCCATCTTCCCCTATTCTGTGAAACCAGTGGGAGTCCTATTAAATGGCGTTGCACACAAGATGATAATCAACTGTGAACGGTTATTTATTACTTCATATCTATCCAACGCTTGAAAGATATGTTAGATAACAAAATATCGCGGTAGCAATTTTACTTTTGTTAAAACCGTGAACAAGTAACATGCTCACAGTAGTTGCTATTCATAAATTAAACTCGAAAAAATCTACCAGATATTTATTTCTCCAAGCGTTACAATCGCATTATATCAGCTGCATTAATCATGGCATGAGTTCCTGGAACATTATATAAAGACAGTGCACTTGAGAAGTGTATTAGTACGATATTTGTTCGGCTATCGCCTAACGTATTAACCTCGGGATTATTGGAGTGACCGCGGCATTAGCAATGAAATATTTGTGAAACAGCTTTTCTATAATCTGGCATTCTTAGACAATAAATCAAAAAATTTATAAACGAATTACTGAACTGAAGGAGTTTAAAAACAAAAAAGACCACAATGTGCATTTTTGTACACGGCACACACATATTTACTAGAACTAGCAGAACTTGAAATGGTAGCCAAGTCAACACAAATGTTCCTGTTATCAAAAACAATGTCTTAGACAGCCTCGTCTCTCTCCTCGCCCTTACTCCGTTATGTATGCGGAAAGTCTGCTTACGCCAGATGACGCAGTAAGAAGTGCACGTTATTAGCAAAGGAGTCGACAAACTGATAATAATAACTGATAAAAACTGGTGATTTGTCACGATTGAATAGTGCTGAAACACTCGAACTGAAGTCACCGCGAGGGAGAGGATCCATGGCGTTGCTATGTCAATGGCGTAGCTATGTGAGGATAACTGCCGATGACGAAGTGGCCGACTGATGGCAAAGAGTCTTTCAAGAGAAATAACAGTCAATGTGAAAATGGAGGAGAGACCTGTAAACATATCGACACTATCAA